GGGAGTTTCTTTTTGTATTCTTCCCAGTTTAAATGCTTTTCTTTCAAGAGAGTTGGTCTTGAATATATTCCCTTTTTGTTACCAGTTATCATTTTTAGAATGTTTTATGTTTTTAGAGCCCCGTGTATTATGGGCTCCCCCCACAGTCCCTGTTTAAGTCACAGTTTTCTCTCCCATCAATGAGAGGACACAGTGGAGAATGTCGTCTGCTGTCACACACTGGAAAACCACTAAGCCCTCCAATCTAGTCTGCATTACCTAGCCACCGAGAAGTGCCAAACAATCAATAGTCTGGAAGACATGGATCTGGATTTTAGTGCCAGCAAAACCAGTTGCTAATCCTTTGACTTTGGGCAAACATTAACCTCTTCGAGTCTTTTATCTAGTCTTCCATCTATAAAATGAGCAAAGTAATTATTTTCCCTACCTACCTCACAAGGCTGTAGTCAACATCAAGAGATAATATATGTAGGTCAACTGGCATAACGAAGTTTATTAAGAAAATGTTCTGCATCCTCAAAAACTAACTCAAAATGGATCAAAGACTTAAATATAAAATTGAAAACGATAAAGATCCTGGGAGAAAAAATAGGGACGATGCTAGGGGCCCTAATTCATGGCATAAACACAGTACAAACCATAAGTAACAATGCACAAACACTAGAAGAGACTAGATAACTGGGAGCTTCTGAAAATCAAACACTTAAAATGCTCATCAGAAGAATTCACCAAAAGAGTAAAAAGACAACCTACAGACTGGGAAAAAAAATTTGGCTATGACAAATCTGATCAGCGTCTGATCTCTAAAAGTCTACAACATACTGCAAAACCTCAACAACAAAAAGACAACCCAATTAAAAAATGGGCAAAGGATATGAACAGGCACTTTGCCAAAGAAGATACTCAGGCAGCTGACAGACACATGAGGAAATGCTTACGATGATTAGCCATTAGAGAAATGCAGATCAAAACTACAATGAGATATCATCTCACCCCAACAAGGCTAGCATTAATCCAAAAAACACAATAAATGCTGGAGGGGTTGTGGAGAGACTGGAACACTTACACACTGTTGGTGGGAATGTAAAATGGTACAACTACTTTGGAAATCGATTTGACATTTCCTTAAAAAGCTAGAAATAGAAGTACCATACGATTCAGCTATCCCGCTCCTTGAAATATATCCTAGAGAAATAAGAGCGGTCACAGGAATAGATACATGCACACCCATGTTCACTGCAGCACTGTCCACAATAGCAAAAAGATGGAAACAACCTAGGTGCCCATCAGCGGACAAATGGATAAACAAATTATGGTATATCCACACAATGGAATACTACACAATGATAAAGAACAATGATGAAACCATGAAACATAACATGGAGGAAGCTGGAGGTCATTATGCTGAGTGAATTTAGTCAGTCACAGAAGGACAAATAACTGTAGAAGACCACTATTGTAAGAACACAAGAAAAGGTTTAAACACAGAAGAAAACATTCTTTGATGGTTACGAGGGTGGGGAGAGAGGGTGAGGGTTATTCATTAACTGGATAGTAGACAAGTATTAGGTGAAGAGAAGGACAGCACACACTACAGGGGAAGTCAGCACAACTGGACTAAACCAAAGCCAAGAAGTTTCCTGAATATAGTCAAACACTTCGAGGGACAGAGTAGCAGGGGTAGGGATCTGGGGACCATGCTTTCAGGGGACATCTAGGTCAATTGGCATAACAAAGCTTAGTAAGAAAATGTTCTGCATCCCACTTTGGTGAGTGGCGTCTGGGGTCTAAAGCTTGCAAGCAGCCATCTAAGATGCATCAATTGGTCCCAACCACCTGGAGTAAAGGAGAATGAAGAACTCCAAAGACACAAGGAAAGTATTAGCCCAAGAGACAGACAGGGCCACATAAACCAGAGACTTCATCAGCCTGAGACCAGAAGAACTAGATGGTGCCCGGCTACCACCAATGACGGCCCTGACAAGGAACACAACAGAGAGTCCCTGATGGAGCAGGAGAAAGATGGGGTGCAGAACTCAAATTCTAGTAAGACCAGACTTAAGGTCTAACTGAAACTGAAGGAACCCCAGAAAGCAGGGCCCCCTGATTATCAGCCCAGAACTAAAAGAATTTCTGAGGCCAACTCTTCAGACAGGCATTGGACTGGACTGTGGGACATAAAGTGATACTCGTGAGGAGTACGCTTCTTAGCTCAAATAGATACAAGAGACTAAACGGGCAGCTTCTGTCCGGAGTGAGATGGGAAGGCACAGAGGGATAGGAGCTGGCTGAATGGACATGGGGAATCGGGTGGAAAGGAGGAGTGTGTTGTCACAGTATGGGGATAGCAAATAAAGTCATAACTATGTATAAATTTTTGTATGAGAGACTAACTTGAATTGTAAACTTTCACTTAAAGCACAATAAAAAAAAAAAGATATGTAAGCTATTGCAGTAAGCACTTTACAAATGTATCATCTAGGACTGTTGTCCAAGTGGTGTTTTTGCTTTACTCTCTTGCTTTCCCTTCTCCCAGTGAAAACCAAACAGATCCTTCAGCGTTCTCAGACTTTATCTTCAAAAACTGACAGGGTATTTTTTGAGGTGACAGAAGTAGTTTAAGTAGTCTCTTTCTTTAGTAATAAGAAACCTTTCCCTGTCAAGCACCAGATATGAAACTCCTTTCTTTGGATGGGACTTATACCAGACAGAAACATTCATTGGGATTCTTGTTCCACAATCCAGAAGGAAACCAGCCTCATATTGCACTCAGGAACTGGCAATATGAAAACTTGACGGTATGGAGCAGTATTGTACAAGGATCTATTGGGTCTGGTGGGGAAGGGGAAATACTGTTGTTTATCATCCCAGGTTCTCTTTCCTCACTGTTCCTACCTCCACTCATTTTGAGTGATGTGAAAGGATATAAGAGGAAGAACACAGTTTATCCATAGGAATGGCTTCGGTTACTGTCTGCTAAGACTAACAATTACTTTTCTCAGTTTCTGTTTGGTAATCAGCAAAAGATTTATTTGCATATGGAAAAAAGTGTAATGTTTTTATCTTTCCACAAATGGAATTCCATCTCAGCTCCATGAATTGAAAAGTAATACCAATTTCAGAAGAAAACTGGCTAATTTTTTTCTTCAAGGGAAAACCTGTTGTACTACTATACCACTTTTAAATGGATATTAGAATTTACTGGTGCAGTGCTGTGGATCCCTTTCGTATGGCCTTTTGTGCCATGGTTTTGTAACTCCCACCCAAGTGATTGGGTAGGATTGTGCAAATAGGGTAATTGTGGCCCACCAAGGGGAGTGGTCAGTTTTGCCATCCCACTGGGCTTGAAATGAGTCATCCCAGAGGCGGGAAAGAGGATCCCACCACCACCAAGGAAGAACAGGCAGGAGTGGAGCACGTCCTTTGGACCCAGAATCCCTGCACTGAAAAGTTCCTGGAACCAGGAGACAGAGAGAGAGCTATAACACTGAAGACTACGAGAAATGGTGGCAGAGAAACAGCAGCAGGAGAGACCGGCAGGAGACGGTGCAGTGGGCTTCCCAGCCCACAGAGAGAGAAAGCTGAGTGCCTTTGGACAGGAGGCTTGCTGGCAGACTAGGGTATCTCTGGGCACATGGTGGAGCTAGGTTTGTTATTTTTGTGTGCTGTTCAGTGGATTCCGACTTAGGAGCCCTAGTGGCACAGTAGTTAAGCACTCAGCTGCTAACTGAAAGGTCGCCAACCGCTCCGAGGGAGAAAGATGTGGCAGTCTGCTTCCTTAAAGATTACAGCCTTGGAAACCCTATGGGGCAGTTCTACTCTGTCCAATAGTGTCACTGTGAGCCCAAATCGACTTGAGGGCAATGGGGTTTTGAATCTTTAGTGAAGCAAGCTGCCACATCTTTCTCCCACATAGTGAGGGTAGTACTTTGAAATGTTAAAGTACTAAATAAGAGCAAAGTAATGTAAGAAAAACTGAATGATACCCTCAGGTGCAATTCAATGGGATGGCAAAGTCCACTCAGTTTTAGCATCATATTCCATCAGTTCCTGTTTGGATGTAGCTGAATTTCTTCCCCTTCCAGTTAGGCCAAGTATAAATCTGTGTCAAGGGTCAGAGCCAGGACGAGTGAGTGTTCATTACTTGATGGGAGATAAATATATTTATACACTTTTTTAAAAATTTCACCTCTTCTCGCCCCCCAGTGGGCGCAGTAAGTCGCTGAAAACAGAGTCTCACAGAAGGGAGTCTTGTTCCATCACTTACTTGACTGCCCCACCGCTTCTCGAGCCTTGTATGTCTTGGCTTGGGCTAACTTCCCTATTAGGTCAAGCCCTACCATAAGTCTCTGCAAACACAGCATGTCTTTCGGAGTTGTGATGAAGGAGAGTCCAGGGACAAAAAGATCCGGAAGGGAGAAAAATGATATTTCACCTTTGCAGCTTGTCAGTCTGGTGCCCGAGAGGCCAAAGTGAAAGGCATTTGAGACGTCTTCAAAGAAAAGTGCAGACTATGTTCTTCCATTGAAATCCTACCACTCGGGGGGGAAAAGAAAATCCTCAAAGCAGCCAAGTCAGCAGCCAGTGCTGGTTTGTCTGCCTTTCCCTAGTCCCCTTGACTCTTCATTATTGAAATCACCCTACTGCCCTTCCTGCTGCAAGTGCGGAGGCTCTGCACCCGCACGCTGTCCCAATTGCAAGCAGGGTCTTTGGCTTCGGCACACTTTTCTTGGGGGAAACGGGGCCCCTCGTTCAGGAAGAACTGCCTTTGGGTAGGCTCTGCACCGAACGAGAGAACACAACACCCGCCGCACCAAGGTGTTGGGAGGCACGGAAAGGCTTCGCCACTGCACGGGGCGGGGCGCGGCGAGGCTTTCTTGCCGGGCGGGGTGGGCTCGCCTCCAAAGACTCTTCCCGCGTCACTCTATTGCGCATGGCACGTTACGTCCTTCCTTCCCTCCCAGCAACCGGCCTGGCGGCAGAGCGGCCATAAACTGAGGAGGCGGAGCTGAGACGGGGTCGGAACTGTGTGCTAACTCCAGGACCAGGTATGGGCTGGCGGGGCCGCTTGGCGCCCTTCAGCGTTCAGCCCCTCCTTGCCCTGATGCCGATTCCATCTCCTCAGGGGCGGGCCTTCGTCAAAGCTGCCTTCCAGGGCCCAGCCTCGTCCTCCACGGGCCGCTCTTCCCCGCGTCCTTCTCGATCCCTGCGTCCTCCTCGATCCCTGCAACAAGGTGCCGCAGCCCGAGAGCACAATAGGCCAGGACCTGCCTGGGGACATCGGAGCCTGGCTGCCGGGCGGAGAGGCGAGCTCCTGCTTTCCATCCCCCTGGGACTTGCATTCGGAAACCTGGGGCCCAGGTGTCAGTTTGTCCTAAAGCCAAGAGACGGCAGATTCCAAGTGCTCCCCACACCCCGACCACATCCCCAGGCTGGACCGGCAGCAGCTCAAGCCCCGTCAGGACACAGGATCCAGGTCACTCCCTGAATCAGCCAAAGCAAAGAGCTTCTAATGATCGTTTTGTGTTCCAAGAATGTTTAAGCGCCCACAGTAAATTTGGGGCGGAGCTGGGGTTAGAGGTCGGGAATAGAGCGCGACAGAAGGGGAGTGATTAATAAAATTGTTCATAGTTTTCAGTTTTTAAGGAACCAACCTCTCTGCCCAGCCGTTTGTCATTCTTTGCTAAAAAAGGAGAAGCCAGTTGAATTGGTCCTTTTTAAACTATAATATCTGTTGAAGCAGAATTATGTTTGCATATGTATTTGCGGCGTTAAAACAATTCTTCATTGATTTATACTTTGTAGAGACACCCAAGACTGCTTCTTGTCTCTGAGAGTTGAAGAAACAGAATCTCATCTGATTACTTGCTTCAGGCCAGGAGCCTATTAATTCAGTCATTAGTTACAGTGGTCAAATCTCTTCCCCACGCTTTAACCAGGTTTCTTAAAGGTAGTTTGGCTCAAATGCTGGGTCGATAGTTGTAACCCAGACGTGAAGGAAGTTTAGAAAACCAATGACAAAAAGGAAAAAAAATCAGGGTAAACGAATTCTCCTTTCTGTGGCATTTGGCACCCAATCAACAGCATTGGCAAATCAGGTGATGTCTTCTCAGTCGTCATTTTATCTTTGTACACCCAGTCTTGAAACTTCTCACTAGGCTTCTCTGGTATCACTCTGTCAGGGTTCTAGAGCTTTCGAACCGATCTAATCAGTCCTTTTACCACTTGGCTGTATGAGCCTGGACATTTAACCTCCCTGAGCCTCAATTTCCTGATCTGTGAAACGGGGGTGATAAAACTTACTGTGAATTGATTCCTGGCACATAGTAAGCTCACAATGTTTGTTGCTTTCATTATTTCTACTACTATTAATTTAACAGATATGTGAATGCCCTTATGTGTTGGGCGTGTTAAACCAAAAACTCAAACCCGTTGTCATCGAGTCAGTTCTGACTCATAGCGACCCCATGTATTACAGAGTAGAACTGAGCTTCATAGGATTTTCTTGGCTGTAATCTTTATGGAAGCAGATCGCCAGGCCTTTATTTCATGGTGCCACTGGGAACTGCAGCCTTTCCAAATTGGGCATATCAGCCCCTGGGAATGCAACAATGAAGGAGATCCATTTTCTGCCCTCAAGGAATCTATCCTAGTGGAGGAGACAGGTAAACAGGCAGATAAGAGTGTGGTAGGTGTTGAGGTTTGAGTACACCTAACATAGGTGGGTACGGGGTATCAGCGAGGACTTTCTGTAGCACAGTACACCTGAGTTGAGTACTGAGGGACAGGTCAAAAGTTAGCTAGGTTGGGGAAGGGGAGTTGGACCAGGCAGAGGATGCATGAGCTATAAAGTTTTTCCTTTGTGCTCCTTTTCCTATCTGACTTTCAAGCTCCATCCCCTAAATGTGGACCTCTCCCAAGGCTTGCTTCCCAGCCTTCTGCTTTTCTCATGATTTTCTTCTTTAGTGAATTTCTTTCACTCTAATAGTGTTAACTGCTCACTCCCAAGTCCACTATTGCCATCTCTAACCTCTCTCTTAAGCATCAGTCCTACCTTTCTAACTGAATGCTGCACGCGTGTGTGTGTTTGTGTAGCCCTGGTGGTACAGTGGTTAAGTGCTAGCCTGCTAACTGACAGGTCGGCAGTTGAAACCCACCCAGCAGCTCCAAGGGAGAAAAGACCTGGCAGTCTGTGTAAAGATTGTATAATTTCCGCTTGGGATATGTAACTGCCTTCTGAACCTCGATAGGATTTTAAAACCCAAACTCATCTTTTCCTCCAAAACCAGTTCTACCTCTGAGCTTTCCTATTTCTGTCTTTGACACACTACTATTCTCCTATCACTCTGGCACAAAAAATTTGGAATCATCACGATTGTGGAATGGGCTCCTTGATGAAGCAGTGTCTCTCTGGCACTGGGCATTTTCAAGCAGAGACTTTAAAACCATATATCCAGGAGTTTGTAAAATATATTCCTCCAAAGGGAAGAGGATGAGCTAGCATTACCGCTGCCGTGGGCTCTTATCACCACAAATGTGGTCCACTATAATTGTATTCTAACTGGTATCTCTTTCTCTGGGTTCTTTTCACCTCCACCCTCATCCCTTTACAGATGGGTATTATTTAGAATGTTCCTTAGAACAATGCTTCTCGAACATTAATATGATGGTCCATAGATTAGCAGCGGTACCATCACCTGGGAGTTTGTTAGACATGTCAGGAGTATAGGGTCGCTATGAGTTGGAATCGACAGCAATAGATTTGGTCTTTAGTTTTTAAGGAGCTCCGATGGCGCAAAGGTTAAGCGCTTGGCTGCTAAACAAAAGGTTGGCTGTTTGAACCCCAGCCACTCTGTGTGAGAAAGACTTGGTGATTTGCTCTTGTGAAGATTACAGTCTAGAAAACCCTATGGGGCAGTTCTGCTCTGTCATATAGGGTCATCTAAGAACAACGAGAAATACCAAGGCCCCACTCCAGAACTTCTGCGTCAAAATCTTCATTTTAACTAGTTCCTCAAGTGATTTGTATGCACAGTAAAGTTTGAGAGAGACACTGACTTAGACCACTGTTTTGTGTTTGCCACCTTGGTTTCAAAGCCTATAATGGCTTCCTACTACTGTTGACTAAAATCCATAGTTTAGCTTATATTTAAGGCCTATTCATTGTTCTCACATACATGGGGTTCTGCTCATGTAACTGCCCTCACTGTAGTTGGAGAGTATATGCAAAGTGCTTAACACACTTCTCAGCACGTTTGGTAAGGCATTCAATATTTTGGGGTGCCTACTACGTAGCAGGCATTGTTATAGGAGCCAAGGGATACACCTGTGAACAAGACAAAACCCTTTGCTGTCGAGTCTATTCTGACCGATAACGACCCTATAGGACAGAGTAGAACTGCCCCATAGAGTTTCCAAGGCGCGGCTGGTGGATTCAAACTGCTGACCGTTGGTTAGCAGCTGTAACTCTTAACCACCATACCACCAGGGTTTTCTTAAATGATGATGTACAAACCATAAATCTCTTACCTGTCAACTTTCAGCATTACCTTTACCCTCTTTGGAAGATGATGATATTAGCTTCAATAGTCGTTCCTTTATATCTCCTTCTGCCTTCTATTTCCCACCTTCTGCCAGCTGAACCTTTACTTCGTATTTTCAAATTTGATGACATTCATTCTTTTCTAGAACCATAATTGAGTCTATGTGCTTTGTCTGTAGTTCCATTCTAAAACTTGAAAGCTGAGAACATTTACATTACAATCTTGTAAGTATTGTTCAATAAAGAGCCAAGTGGTGTGCTTCTCTATAGTTCTATTGTCTTAACTTTTCAGTCATTCACAATCAGGTGGATTCTTTCTTTCATTGCTCAACTGCTCAAAATTATGCCACATTTAAGTTTCAGATTCAGACTTTTTACTTTTTTATATAATTTTTTTTATTTTTGGAGTTTGTTTGCCTTTCTGTTGTCTTTTTTAAGAAAAGAAACAAGCTACTTTACACTTTGTTCCTGTTAATTTTCATCTGTTTTGCTCATTTTATATATTTTACAAAATCATTTCTTTTTCTTCAGCCCCACCAACTTTGTGTTCTAATTTTGACTTCTTCCTTTCTTGACCTGCTTCGTCGCTGTCATCCTGAGATTTTTCAATGACCTCACCTTTTTTTTTTGCATCTCATGTATTCCTTTTAGATTTTAGCCCCGTTTGGCTGGAGTACATCCTCAAGTAATTTCATTAAAAAACATGTGGGAGATAAGGCTTTTTTTAGTCCTTTCATGTCTGACAGTTAAACTATTTTGCTCACATACTTTATTGGGAGTTCATTTGAGTATAGAGTTTTAGGTTCAAAATAAGTTCGTCAGAATCTTCTAGCACCTTGTGATGTTTTTAAGAAGTCTAATGTCATTCAGATTTTTGTTTTTCTTCTCCATTTCTTAATATTTCTCTCTTCTATTTTTATAGTACTCCTACAGTTTAGATATTATATCCCCTTGTTTGTTCCTCTGTGCCTCTTATGTTTTTTTTCTAATATTTTTAAATCTGTCATTTTGCTTTGTCATCTGGAAGATTTCTTTGATTCTTATTGAAGTTTTAATTACCATTGTTTATAATTTCAATAATTCTTTCTTGCTTTCTGATTGTTCCTTTTTGGTTTTATGGAGGCAGTATCTTCTGGAACCTCTGAAGAAATTAAGGTGTTGATTTTGTTTAAAAAGTTCTCTTCCCTGAATCATCTTTGTTTTCTCTAGGGTCAGCTTTTCTGTAAAGTTTAGTGTTTCAAATGCTATCCCTTTGTTTTTTTTTGTTTTTTGTTTTTTGAAATGTCTCATGATCCTTGCTCTTTGCTTGTATTTAGGAATAAGGGAATAGAAAAACTAACCGGGAGCTCTGTGTACATGACCAGGCAACCAGGACTAATCAGCTGGCAAGTGTGGCTTTTGGATGCGTGAGCATTAAGTGGGTAGTGATGCTGGGGCTTGTTTTTAGCTCACTTCTCCCTCCCTAGATCATGGTTGCTACAGTCTTGATTCAGAGCCCCGTAGGCCTGGTCAGCTGGGTAGATCTGCGCCCATTCTCTACTACAGTCTCCTTTGCACGCATTCTAACCTGAGACTGTCTCTTCTCTAGTTCATGGGACAACACTCTTCTACTTTTTTGCTCCTAGAAATGTATTGAAATTAAATTTACTAATGGCCCCTCTCATTCTATTCTCTGATATAAGCTTATTTTTTATTCCTTTACTTTTCATGATAATGGTAAGACAGAAAGGTGAGATAAATTCTTGTGCTCAGGTTAAAATCTCAAGTCAAAAGCCTGAGTATCTCCTATTTTTAAATCCCTGAAAAAGTTGATTTCAAAGTCTTTCTTAGAAGTGTAATCCATTATTATAAGCCTCACCATCGGAAGGGAGAAAGGTATCCATGTCCCAGGTATTAGATGGATGCCATTAACCTCATTTTAGAGATTTTAAAGTTGAGATCCAGCGAACCAGAGCAACCTGATTAAGTTAAAGCAGATGGCAAGAGCAAAAGCTAAGGTTTATACTAGGCCTGTGTGATTTCAGATCCTGTGCTTTTTTCCACTACACCATATTGCCACCCTTAAGTATAAATTCTGTGACTTCGTATTACTCTTCATGTGCCTTTAGCTACTTTAAGTCTTGGTTGTTCTGACCATTTGTATAGTAACATTATGTACTGAAATTAGCTTGCTCTTTTCTAAACTTTACCCTTTCCTAATAGCTTCTGTTTTTCTAAATTAATCTTTTGTTTTGACTATCCTTGAAATATTTTCAAGTTCTTCATGTGTTCCTATCAAATTTTTTTACACAGGACTGAAGCATGCATTTGGTAAATGTTGTTAAGGAAAGATAAAGTTGAAGTATATTTGGCAGAAATTCAGAAAAAGCAAAACTCATTCCTCTTCTTGATCCAGAATAACATTTCTTCTGATTATTCTCATTAGTGGGCGCAGTAATAAACAGCATCTTCAGAACATGATTATTGGAAGCAGAGTGACACATGTCCTAAGGCTTTTTCTAATAGTGCCTTTTAATGTAAAATGAAGGCTGTTCAAATACAGTTTAGTAAAAGCAGTTTTATTGGAAGCATACAGAGTAAGATCTAGCCCTGTAGCTACTCATTAGCCTGCCTTAATCCAGGAATAGATCAAGAATCTTTAGAATCACTCCTTCAGGAGTGTCGAGGATCCCCAAGACCACTCTCAGGCTTGGTAGTTTGCTATGAGGATTTACAAGATTCAACAGGTGGTTGTACTCACAGGTATGACTTATTACAATAGAAGAATACAAAGCAGAATCAGCAAAGGGATAATGCACATAGTATATGCAATTTGATAAAAGTCTACAGATAATTTTGAAAGGCCTCCTGTCTCCCCCCATGTTGAGAACCATTGCTTTGATATCTGAAACAGTTCTTCTAAGGATTCTTAGAACTCTGTGTTCCAGATTGAGCCTCTTTCCCCATCCCATCCCCACTGTTATACCACTACCACAACCCCTGACAACCCCACTGTACCTCAAAAGAAAGGGGAGGAATATGTGGCAGTTTTTTTTCTAGATTCTTCAAAGGCAGTCTTTATTTTTAGCCATTCCGGTTGGTGTGTAGTGGTATCTCATTGTGGTTTTAACTTGCATTTCCCTGATGACAAGTGATATTGAGCATCATTTCATGCTTATTGCTCACTCATACATCTTTTATGATGTGTCTTTTGAAATCACTTGCCCATTTTTTAAATTCAATGTTTTGTGGAATTGAATTGTAAGCGTTCTTTATATGCGCTATATATAAAGTCTTTTGTCAGATACGCGCACAAAATATTTTCTCCCAGTCTTTTCATTTTCTTAGTGGTGTCTTTCAAAAGCAGTTTTTAATTTTGATGAAGTCTACTTTATCATTTTTTCTTTCATATTTCATGCTTTTGATGTTCTGTTTTAAAAATCTTTGCCTATCCCAAAATATGAGCATTTTCTTATGTTTTCTTTACAAATTGTATAGTTTATCTTCTTCCTTTAGTTCTGTAATCCACTTCAAGGTAATTTATGTGTATGATGTGATGTAAGGGTTGAGGTTTATTATAAATAGATATCAAGTTGTATCCAGACTGTCTTTTCCCGATTGAATTACTTTGGCTCATTTGTTGAAAATTAATTGACCATATATGTGTGGGTCTATCTCTGGATTATCTGTTCTGTTGCATTGATCCAGATGTCTATCCTTACACCAAAGTGCACTGTCTTGATTACTGTAGTGTTAAAATTAAGTCTGGAAATCCAGTAGTATAAGTTAAACTTCGTTATTTTTCAGAGTAATTTTAGCTATTTTAGGTCTCTTGCATTGCCTTATAAATTTTATATGATCAGCTTGTAAATTTCATTTAAAAATCCTATTGGAATTTTTAATAGGATTCCATTGAATCTATAGACCAGTTTGGAGAGGATTGACATCTTAATAACATTGAGTTTTCCAGTCAATGAACATGGCATATCTCTCCATTTATTTAGATCTTTAATTCCTCTTAGCAGTGCTCTGTCATTTTTAGTGTACGGGTCTTATCCATAATTTGTTTAAATTATTCCTAATTATCTTATGTTTTTTGTTGGTATTATAAATGGTATTGCTTTTTAAATTTCATTTTCTGATTGTTTACTGCTAGTATATAGATATACAGTTGATTTTTGTATATTGACATTGTATCTTGTGACCTTGCTAAATTCATTCAGATCTTTTTTTTTTTTTTTTTGGGTAGAATCCTTAGAATTGTCTGTATACATGATCATGTTGTCTGTGAACAGTTTTACACTTTCCTTTCCAATCTGTATGTCTCATTTCTTTTTCTCACCTTTTTGCACTGGCTAGGACTTCTAGTACAATGATGAATAGAAGGGATGAGAGTGGATATTCTTGCTTTGTTCCAGTTCTTGGAGGGTACTCATTCATTCTTTTCACCGTTAAGTATGATGCTAGCTGTAAATTTTTCTTACATATCTTTTACCAACCTTCTATTTCTAGTTGGCTGAGAGTTTTGTTGTTTTTTTGGTTTCTTTGTTTTAATCATGAATTGATGTTGAATTTTGTCATACGCTTTTTCTCCATCTATTAAGTTGATTATGTGTTTGTTTTTTCCCTATATACTTGGTTAATAAGGTAAATTACAGTCACTCATTTTTAAACATTAAACCAACGTTTCATTCCTGACATAAACCCTATTTGGTCATGATATGTTTTTAGTTATTTTAGGTATAAATTCTTAATTATAAATAATAAACATAAAATAAGATTGGGATGATATGAAAAAGATACACCTAAGAAATGGCAGAAGCTCTTGGGAATGTAAAACCGAAATTTATAACTTTAGTAGAAGGATTAGAAAGTAAAGTTGAAGAAATCTGGAAAGTAAAGAGATATGAAATAGGAATGAAACAGGTATAAAATTAGGCATAAATCTAGAATTACAGCTTTAACTATTAGAAATTCTATAAAATAAGAACTGAAAAAATAGAGGAGACAAAATTATCAAAGAAATAATAGAAGTTCCCAGAATTGAAGGACCCAAATGACCAGACTAAAAAGGCAGCTAAATGCAGCTGGCCTAGAAAGCAACTAGTCCAGATTGGAGCAGCAGAATAGAAGTCTCTGGGAAGGCAGTCTCCAGGGAAAAACTGCAACTGATAGGTTTGAGTATATGGAAAAACATATTGATAAGGCAAATCGCAGAGCTGTAGGAGTATTCGCAAAGAAATAATGATAGCTACATGGGAAACTAAACAAATGAAGAAATGAGGCCATTATTAACTCCAGGTGAAAAATGGGTACACAAGGAGAAATGGTTGTCTCTACTTCCCTCAGCTGTGAACCATACTTGCATAGTCATGTAATGTAAATGTGTACAATCAATTTAACCAAATATTATGCCAGAACTGTATTGGGAGGATGAGGGGAGAGGGAAAGTAAGGTGATGTAGGAGAGCTTAGTCTTCGTCTACCATAGTAGGAGGTTAGTAGGCAGATGTCTAAAATTGATAAGCAATAGTCATATAAACACTATTTAAGAATGATGGTGATACAAAGCAGGAAAAACAGCCGAAAGAATTGAAGGCAATTGCTTCTGGGAAGGGGGTGGTGGAGAGTTGGATCAAGGGACTGCCATTTCTTGGTATAAGCTTTTCAATACTATTTGACATTTTAAATTATGTGCATGTATGACTTTAAATTTAAAAATGTAAAGAAAGAAAATCATACGATAACAAACTTTTCTTATAGAGATAGCAGCGTATAGTTGGCCAAGTACGTCCAGGTTTATCATCACTGAAAAGTTTATCTAAACAAATCTTTAGACTCTAGTAAATTACAGGTCTAATACAGTGCTTTGTGAATGGTAGAACTGTTAGTAAGTTTTGGTTAATCAAAAATTTATTCTAGAAAAAGAACCTTAACTAACTCAGCTTGTTTCTATTTTCCTTTTAGGTTTAAATTTTTGAAATTGAAATAGGTCCACACATTAGGAACTCATGTCTTTTCTTGTAAGTAAACCAGAACGGATTAGGGTGAGTGTTTCTCTTCTTCTGACTTTACTCTTTTTGTTTTCTGAAAAGCAGTGTGTTTTGACAGATATTGTAAGTGGTTTTTTATGTGATGCTTAGAATCTTACAGAAGTGAAAGATGTAGAAAGGAAAGTAAGGCAGGTATTGCAGTCTCCACTCCTGAGAAAAGAGCTTGCGGGCAAAGGCAGACCAGAGACACAGAATATACTCCCACGCTTGTCTGATAGAGAAGAAGCAAGAGGGTGGCTTATCTCATGACTATCAGTCATCCAACATTAAATGAGTTGATGGCGTTTTTCAGTGAATCATGTCCCCATTTCCTTGTGGATTTTGGTGGGTTTGTGTGTTTTTAAAATCAGTATCAAATTGTAATCACTGGAACACTTTTTTCTAAGTATAATCATAGATTTTAATTGAATATTTTTTTTTGAACACAAAAAATTTTATTACACCTCAAAATTTAACCAGCTAAAATGACTTCGAGAGTAAATATTGGATTTAGCGCCTTTACAAGCTGCTATGATTTCATAAAAGACTGTCTTGTTTTATTACCAAGTACTTAATTTCTAAATGCAGTAATAAATTTAAAATTTTTGTACCAGTGTGTAAGTGCTATGAGATATTTTAAGTATACCACTCTCTCTTTCAATATTAAAGTGTAAATTATATTTTGTAGTACAGTGCATATGATTTTTTTATATCAAATTTTTTATTTACGGTCTTATTTCTTTTCTAATTTGGAAAAATTGATATAGAAAAAAACAGAATAATGTTATAATTCCATTTCAAGATCTATATTATGCAACTTTTTTCTGAATGCGACTTAATCTTTTTTGTTATGTTTACATATATAAGAAAAGTTTATATTGAAAAGAGTAAACTTCACTGTTAATTAAGAGAAAAACTGAACCTCTCCTTAGCCAGTGGAAAGAATGCCCCCAAGCCAAACTTTAACACCGGTCTTTAAACGAAATACAATCTTGATTCCATTGCTTTTAAAGATCGGCTTCTTTTCTGTTTCAGCCTAGTCTGATTCAGGTGAAACCAGACCACTGAACAGTACGATGGAAATCTAATACTCATTTGAACTAGGGCAGTAATGTGAACCATAGGTTGGCTATGCTTGTTTGATCTACATGTTCAAACCTGGTAGAAAATGTACGCGGTGGCGTCTTTGGAAACTCTCATGGACGAAAGAGCGTGCATCTTGCTGTATTTCCTTTTACAAACTAACAGAGGCTTGTAAAAAACTCATATTCATCCCTATTTTCTGTATTGTGAATTCTAATAATATTTTTCAAGTTGGTGTTAATGATCCAAAGCATCTGTAATGGAGGGCCATGGAATGAGTAAGGTGGAACCAAAAGGTTGTTAGGTATAGGAAGGACAAAAACATTCTTTCCTTTTAGGGCCAGTCCTGCTTATTTCTCGTCTGTCAGATTTAAGATTTAAGTTAGGCAAAGAGGAATAGAGAAAGGAATTATAAATCCATTGTTTTCAGTTGGTTTAACTCCAAGATTCTTTTCAAAACTTTTCCATAGAAATGTATCTTAACTGTACTGTGTGATCTGGTTGTAATTGTGTTTTTGTCTGTCTAGTGGCTGATAATCTAATTTTCTCTAACTTGGGAGAAATACTAATTCTCTTTGGGGTTTTCCTCTTTAGCGGTGGGTCTCGGAAAAGTTCATTGTTGAGGGCTTAAGAGATTTGGAACTATTTGGAGGTAAGTACAGTATGGCATTTAGCCATCATTTCAGGATAAATATCACTACTCTTTTTTGACTAAATCAGTTTAGAGAAGTTAGTCGTTCTAAGGGCAAGTGTAAACTGCAGTTGTTGGATTTATTTGGCTCATTTTTGATTCCTTGGATTCCCAAAGATTTGAGGAGATCTCTATACTAATCTGGCAGTTGTTCTTGGCCTGTCTTGATTGTTAGAAAGCCAGTATTTACTTAAAGGTGCATGTGTTTCTTCTAAAGTATTTGTCCAATTGAAATACATATTCCTAAAAGAAAAAAATTAAGTGTTTAAAAGTCTCTAGTCTTGAAGATTTTACGGTCAGGACAAAGGTAGCAATTACATAAATTCTGGTTTTACTGACCAATCTAGTTGAATCATCTTTTCATAGTAGAAATTATGAGACTCAAGAAAAGTAAGACATCTGTCAGAGCAAAAATATTAAATTCCTGTTTTAAAATCTGTTTAAATGTTGATGTGTTAGAAGTGAAGTAGGTTTGTAACTTTGAAGTTTAACAGGCCCAGGCATTCCCCTTTGGCCATTTTTAAAGTAAGTCTTTTTTGGGGATTGTGATCTTATTTTCAGGCAAAGAAATTTCTTTTCTATGAAAGTAATAGTAGTAGGTCCCTATTCTTTGTATCTGAGAACCAAGATTCTCTATCCTTAGAATCCTGCAGCTAAAGGGATAGGTTGCCAGATTGAGTGCGTTGGTTAACTGATCCAAAATATCCTCAAATAAAGGTCCATGCGTGGTATAAATGGTTTGCAGTCAGCTGGTAACCAAAAGGTGGGTGGTTTCAAACCCACTCGATGGTAACATGGAGGAAACAGGCCTGGCAATCTGTTTCCATAAAGATTACAGCCAAGAAAACCCTATGGAGCAGTTCTACTGTGTAACACATGGAGTCTCCTAAGTCACAAATCAACAACAGAAGCAAATCAACAACAAAATATCCCCAAATAGGCTGAAGTAATTGAAAACTCAAACTTGTTCATTACTAGGTGGTATCAATTAGTTTATTTTCTCTAATGCCTCTCAAAGAACTTCTGGAGTAGTGTTATTTGTGAACTTTGTCGAAATGTTGTGTTTTAGACAAGTGAGAGTTTTTAAAAGTGATTAATTCTGTTTGTTCTAGTTATAGAGAGTAAAAATTAGCTGCGTGGTAAAGGAAGGACTGATGGAACAAAAATACTGTATTCTGGTGCTATTCTCATTCTCTTCCCATCATTGATGGGAATAAAATGGTTTAAAAGTAAACATTGGCATTGATAGGCATTGACTCAGAAGTCTAGTTTACAATGAGTAAGTTACAAAAATTCTAGTATATGTGAATTGAATGAATTGATTTTGATTTCAGTGTCTTGAGTGTAGAAACTCTGTCTTTTGACAGTGCCCTAATCTCAGATCTGAGGAGGATGAAGATGTTCTTCTATATCATGTTTACAGCTTGATGAAGTCTGTATTACCAAGTCTTACACAACATGGAATTTGGGTTAGATTTCTTTAATCTAGTCACCTGACTTCTAAACTCTGACAGATTGTCCCAGGAACTGCTCCTACTGTTTGTACTAGAAAGTTTATGCCCAAGACAAAAATAAAAATGAATCCTATCATGAGGTCAGTTGATTCCACTTTGCTGCTGTTCTCTAAAAATACAGCTGGATGCTCTAACGTACCTTAGCGTTTTCCTTGGTGACTAGCATAACTAACCAACCAATCCGTTGCCGTTGAGTCGATTCTGACTCACAGCGACCCTGCAGGACAGAGTAGAACTGCCCCATAGAGTTTCCAAGGAGCGCTTGGTGGATTCAAACTGCTGAACTTTTGGTTAGTAGCCATAGCACTTAACCACTACGCCACCAGGGTTTCCTGACTAGACATACTGTTATGATTTTGCATAGTTTAAGATATTTGGAACTGTATAGTTTAAGGTATTTGGAAATGTGTAACACCCCAATACTTTACATCAAAAGCCGTCTTCTTTGATGATTTTGATTACTTTTACAGAATAGAGAAAATCAGAAGCATAAATTGAAAATTTGTCTGATTTAAGAGTAAAAAGTTATCTTAGTTGTCCTTTGTTCCTTTTCACTAAGAACCGCAGAGTGTCAAAAAAAAACATGCTTTATTTGCATTCAGAATAGAGTATATCTGACTGGAGAATCAAAGTGTCCCTCATACACATATGTTGCAGTTTTAAAAACTGATGTTTAGTGTCTGCACTCCCTGAGAAATCGTCATCTATCTGTTAACTTTATAATGAATGTTTTGTTCACAAAGTATAAGACTCTGCAGCCAGTGTATTGAAAATAACATTGTGTGCTCATGAAAAGTGAATGTATAACCAAAATTGTAGCAGTTGAGTTATACCCAATAGAGCATACCCAGAGAGTAGTAGCCTTGCAAAGTTTTGAAGAGCCTTAGATTCCCATTAAAAACTCTATCTAGCTGCGGCATTTTTACTGTGACTCTGTGTACGTGTGTCTATGTCTGTATGTAGCACTACAGGCACTTTTTGCTATAATGACTCTTAAGTGGTTTCTATTAGAAAATGTAGTCCTGAGTGCAATAATTGCTGTTCTGAATGTGGGTGTGTCTTCTGCTAAAAAAAAACAAAATGCCAACAATCAATTTTTCTACTCCAGAGCAGCCTCCGGGTGACACTCGGAGAAAAGTAAGTGACTTTCTAGGCTTTAGCATTATGGCTGTTGCATGGAGTTGACTTTTCGTGGAAGTTTGTGTGTTTTGTTGACTTATCATTTTATGTTTCTGCTTATCTGTCATTGAGCTGTATTTGTAGTGTAATTCTTTTATTTGTGAAAATTCAGGTTTCACCCTGGAAAAATTTTGATGTATAGTTTGAAAAATGAAAAGTCTTATGTACTTAATGTCTCTCTCCTGGAAATTAAGGTCTCCTCTCCCTTCCCAACTCTACCAACTACCCACCACCCCCTCCAAAACCAAAGTAAGTGTCAACAGCCTAAAATATAGTTCTCTTTTAGTGACTGATGATACTGCATTTTCCCTCCTTAATCTATTAACAATAGATTTCAGTCCACAGAGATAATATAGATCTCTCTAGATCGTAAGTCAGGACCTCAAATCTCCCACCTTAAAGGCAAAACTAAAAATTAAAAAGAACAAGACCGAAAGTATACTTTTTTCATTGGCAAAGTGGCAAGACTCGCCCTGCTTCCTACTCTTCTAGTCCATTTTACCTAAGTAAATGGCACCTGATGTGCACAGAATACCAAGCTATTTTTGATAATGTGAGTCAGTGTCTTATAAAGAGAGAAGATAACAACACTCGTCTAAGCAGACTTTCTGCTCTTTTCGGATTAATAGACATTTGCACCTTGTGCAGACACCCCAAGGTTGAGTAAAGGATAATGATGTTGATTAGGAGTTTGTCAGAGTAAGGCAGTGACTGTGCTTGTGCAGTTTGGTAGTCAGGGACACCTGTCTATCAGATTAAAATACTTTACAATCAAGAGAACGTAAAAGTTCCCTATAGAATCAATTAGCTATTTTTGCAGAATATAATACCAACTATACATCATTTTTATCTTTTCACAGCTACTGACGTTATAACAAAAGTTATCCTAGGTGAAACCTGTGGGTGGTTGAATGTGTTTATTTGGTTTCGTTTTGTAAATATTGTTTTTGTATGCATTGTATTCTGTTTTAAACTTTTTAAACAAAGTTATTTTATCATCATTTCTGGATATCAGTAGCTTGTGTATTTTTCAGATGCTTCAAATTAAATAAAATGCTTTTCATGGGCGGGGAAACTAAGAAAAAGACTTTGATAGAATTAGCTTTTCTCAAGACAATTTGAGATTATATATTACACTAATAAAACTATGCCATACTGTGTTTAAAGAGAATGGGCTATATATTTCATCCTTTCCCCTTTAATCTAAATCTGAAACATATGAACTAACCCGCTTTTCTGTGGCAGTATCAAACCAGGCCTATCCCTTTGGAAATGTTGCCTGAAAATATCCTCTGTGTGTTGCACTTGGCTGATCCTGGGAATCTTAATAGCTGAACTACTTGTGCCTTTCTTGCTATTTTAGTGTTTACTGACTTCATTAAAAAGAAACATCCATGAAAAGTTCATTTTTTTACTTTAAAATCCCCATGTAGCAAAAAATTTTCGTTTATCACCAGAGGCTTACTCTGAACAGATAGTGAGTTCAGTCACACAGAAGACCCACCAAGTAGAAAGCCTCCATTTTAGAATCATTTTCAGTGAGTTGGGGACACAGTGGTAAAGGACCACAGCAACTGCTAGACTAGCTTATCGCATGCAATTCCAGATTGCCCGTGAAGTCATATTCCCAATTACCTAAAGAATTTTATTTTCTAGAACTAACACTTTCAAGTAGTTAGCTGTACTCAACAAAGATAGTAGAAATGCTTGTCAAATTACTAACTAGTTATAGTAGTAGTTTAATGAATTAGTCCCTACCTAGGCTCCACAAGAACATGTCTTTGGCATCTATCCTAGTAGATGAGGTGTCTTTCATGCGCTCCTGGCCATGAAGAGGGCGCTAAAAAACAAACAAAAAACTAAGGAGCCCTGGTGGGGCAGGGGTTAAAGTGCTCGGGACTTAGTTAATAAAAAAGTGTCTATCCAATTTTTCCAAAGGGAATTATTTAAAGTGTATGTCTTAGTTACCTAGTGCTGCTATATATAACAGTAGCATCACAAGTGGGTGGCTTTAACAAACAGAAATTTATTTTCTCACAGTTTAGCAAGCGAGGAGTCCAAATTCAGGGTGCTGGCTCTAGGGGAATGCTTTCTCTCTCTGTCACCTCTGGAGAAAGGTCCTTGTCTCTTCGGAGCTTCTGCTTCTGGGCAGTCTTCATATGGCTTGGCATATGTCTTCCCCCATCTCTGCTTTCTACTCTCTGCTTGGTTTATATCTCAGAGGGACTCAGCTTAAGACATACCCTACACTGATATGGCCTCATTAGC